CCAAACCCTCCTGCTACTGCTACTAATATTAACACTTTAAAGCATAAACATGAGCTGTCTAGCAGAAGTGTGGATGAAAATATGGATAAACTGGAAAAGAAGAAAAGTCAGAACAAAGAAGACGTGGGATAAGCTGGTCAGTGGTGACTCATCAAAAGCATGTTTCACTTTTGCCATTGGGAATTTTCAATTGGCCACAGAGCGGAGCTTCACCCAACAAAGCAGGCTGCTACAGGCTTCAGAGAAGTCCAAGAGGGCCACACTACAGGAACAAGTCCCAAGTCAGTATTTTGTCCCTTTTTGGGGACAAAATAAAATGGTACGATATGTCAGCACAGCTCCAGTAAATACTGACATAAAAAACAAATCTAAATCAAAATATGTATATTTAGTATGTTTGTGAGCCACATTGACGCTTTTCTGGCTACGCTTGAGTTCATCAGTCCCTGAGTTCAAAGCAGGCCACTGCATCACATCACAAAGCCACTGAGCCGTTCAAGATATGATCATCATTAATCACAGCTTTTGATCAAGCATCAAGCATCAAGCAGCGTTTTCTCCGTCATGACTTGAATTCCATAGTAGAAACAAAGGACGCAGGGCCGTATCCAGATTAACTTCAGATTGCACGTCAGCGTGGTGCAGTATTCTTTCAATAACAGGGACGTGGTATACACTTCAGGCTGTAATCTTTTCTCCTCCTGTCATCTGAGGAAAGGGGGAAAATATCACTTTGATGCTGTTTACTGGGGTATTTTGCAAAAAATAACTTTATGATGAATTTTAAGGGAGAGAAAAAAATGCAGAAGGGGCTTTAGAAGTAGCGTTAACGGGAGACAGATTTTTGACATGCTTCCCAAGCCATCTGCTTTGGGTTAAGGCTCAGAGACAGAGTGGAGTATGGAGGAGAGAGAAGAGGGGAGCAGGACTGGGGAAGATGGCGAGGGCAGCAGGGAATAGAGCGAACGCAACATTGACAGGAATGGTGGATCAGTATCTGGTTGTACTGTTTTGAATTGTTGTGGCATTGTACAACAGAAATATTGACATGGGATATCATCCTGGATATTGCTATAGAAATAAACATGCTGTGGTTCCAATCTGGAGCTTCTGGCTGAAATATTTTTGCAGTTTTGACGAGTCCAAAAACCCCATGTTGGTTCTGAAATCTGTCAGACAGCCAAAGATCCAACAGAGACTGTTCTGCTGAAGACGCCACAACACAAAACTAATTAGGAGGCATGCTCCAGGCATATCTGTTCATTTAAAGGGAGAGGGAGCTTTGGGATTTCAGAGTTTCACTATCTCTACTACTCAGGACTCTTTCCAAATAGCCACAACACCTTGCCAAGCTCCTTCACTCCCCCTAACTCATGATATTAGCTCATTTAATTCTTCGAGGAAAAGCTCTGAAACATAAACAATGTTTATTTTGCCAGTCATGCTCTGCTTGGAGATGTTTTTTGTCTTAGTTTCGGAGTCTCTCCTGTTTACCCCCCCAAAGCTGTCCGTCTCCGTCCACCCCCTCTGTGCCATTCTACCAGTCCCCAGTGGGCACAGTCAGCCAGTCTGGCCAGGCCTGCCCCTTGCTGTGCCCCTGCACTGGATAAGCTCCTGCCTGGACCTTGGGTAGAGGCCTTTGTATGGAGCCAAGGGGTGTGTGTGTGTGTGTGTGTGTGTGTGTGTGTGTGTTTGTGCATGTGTGCGTGCCTGTGTGTATGTGTTAGTGTGTATAGCATTCAAAGCACATGGGGAGAAGGGGGTCCTATCTGTGCCTAAGGGCTGTCCCCCAACACACCCTCACCGTGCGCCCTATTGAGACCTAAGGGAGCGTGAACAATCACTGCAAAACCAAAGAGCTAAGTCCTCTTGTTATACAAGCCCAATTTTCAGCGCCCAGCCCCACCTCTCTGCTCCGTGGTGCATCTCCCACCCCCACCCCAGCACCTCAGCCTCGCTCATCAGAGGTTGACGGGCTTCGTTAAAGCGAGCTGGGTCCCTTTTATGGCATTATTTAATTAGTCATTCCACAGCAAACTGCTATCCGGCACCACCACCACGACCCCCTTCCATCCTCTTGGTCCATTTGTTGAAGCCACCACCATCTTCATCACCACCCCTCCTCTCTCCACTTCTTTTCTTTATCTCCAGTAATTAGCCAGGGGATGGGGGTGGACTTATTGCTGGAGTCCTCTACAGTATTAGTGCTTGAGACTAAGACTAAGTAGAGGGGAAGTGTCTTTCCCTACATGGGGTTTTCTCACCCGGTCCACCACCCTAAAGACCTGCAGAGGAGGACAAAAGAAGGGCTGGTCCTACAGTAGCCAGCTCAGCCTTACTGTCCCCGCTGCCCACTGAGTCCTGTCTACACTGGCACCCTAATCATTAACCAGATTATGACTTTGTGTGTCAGCATGGAGGAGTCAACTGGAATTTACTCACCGCATGCAAAAGAATGCTGGAAACTCTTAAACGCTGTTAGAGCTTTTGAGAATGGTTGACAGAATAAAACTTAAGCCCATGTTGTGATAAAAGTCAAAAGTAGAGTTTTTTTTAATATATTTTACTCACATTTCCGGATTACTTCATTTTTAGCATGTTGGCTCCAGCATTAGTTTTCCCATCTTTGATCACAAAGCTGGTGAGCAATTTTACTTGAGCTGCACCATTACTATGAGAGCACATTCCTTCCCCATGCACTCAAACATGAGCAGTCAAACTGAGGGAGAGAGTCTGGGGAGCCCCTGGCTGCAGGTCCAGACCATGCTGGATCGACGCCCTCTAGTGACCACTACAAAAGAGGAGCACAATGACACCAAGGAGTAGCCAATAACCCTGATCAGCCCATCATACTGTACTTTTAACTCCAGCTAGGGTTAAATTCAGAGAGTAAACACATATAAACTAAGTCTAACCACATTTTGAAGCATATTTCATTGAAAGAATTAGTGACATTGCGTTTCATTTTAATTTAATTAAGGGTCTTCTTGATTTATTTCTGTTTAATCAGATTGGAAGTCAACTTCCCCTTTGCTTTTTCCCCAAAATAAAGTCTTAATTGAAATATCATTTTAACGAGGCGGACGTCTGACTCATCATTGCAAGAGAAAAAAAGTTAGTAGACTAACTCGACAGGCATCCAATTCAGCTTGTCTGAATCATTTCAAGAGCCATTACAAGAGGTCTAACATTGATCAAACAAAAGTAGAAAGTCCAGCTTGGCTCTAATGACTGCTTAGCATGGGAAAGGTACGGCTATGTTATCCGTGGCCATTTATAGCCCTTAATTACGCGCCTATTTTGTGACCCTAAAGTTCAACGGACCAATTCCTGTGCAGACCCAAAATGCTGATGAACAAAGGTGGAATGTGATGCCTCCTTTCCGCGGACAAGCTACTAAACGTTTCCCATTAATTTCATGGGAAAGTTCAAGCTGAGGAAACTCTTAAACGCTTGAGCTGAATATTGACAGCGTATTGAAGCTATTAGGGGATCTCAAGCGCTCAACTGCATAGAAGCGCTGGCGAAAATAGTCCAATAAAACTCGAAACGTGTAAGGGATTTTGTCTATTAATGTACTCTTTAGGTTGTCGAATATCACGCCATAAATCGGAATAAAACAAGTGCTTTAGGACCCAGTTGATCTTTGTGATTGAGGCTGATATTTTCCACGTTGTGAGGGGAGGGGGTGGCTCGGAGGGGGGGCTGTCAATCATAGTGAAAGTGGCCGGGGTGGGCAGGCCCCTCTGACACTTTGTACCGTCGGAGGGGGATATTTAACTTGGGACTGAGCAGCACTCGCTACAGACACACTCACACACAGTGTGCCTAAGCAAAGAAACGCTCCAGCGCCAAGTCTCTCAGACTCCTCAAGTAGGAGCGACTCAGTAGGAGCTTCTGTATCAAAGAGGAGAGGCGCTCCCTCAGGAATTGACCGCTTGCATCGGCCGGGCAAAAAAGCTCCACAACTTGAACAGTTTCGTTATGCAGCGACAGAAGGATTCAGACCTTTTCTGACAGGATTCAGCGATGCCAAAGTGGAAGGAACTCTGACCAGAGAGCGTAAACTGACTTTCTGCAGTTTGCATTTGATATGCACTGACACTGCGCGCTTTTTCCAGCGTTGTTTTTATTTCATGCACAGCCAAGAGTCTTGTGGGAATGTTACAGTCTGAGATTTTTTTCTAAAGAACTGCTTGGAACATCCTCTGGAAAAGATAAATGGCTGTTATTTCATAAATTGAGATTGCATCCCGCCGTGTTTTTCTTCAAGTTCTGGGACTTTCAAGGAGTTGCACAAACAGACGGCTGGAATACCACAGGGGGGACTGGCTGCAGAGATCTTTACTCAGCCCGCGGATTGTGCACCCCTGGGACCTTGTCAAACCTGAGAGCGTCAGGCGACGTTAAGAGAAGCCGCGTTTATAAAAGCCGTGCGTAAAAATAACATTGGCCAAGGCAGCCCCCATTGCCGGGCGCGTGACATTTCAAACTTGGTGAAGTGCTCTTTTGTGCGCCCTTCTCTGCCTGTGTGGACGCTCCGGATCTATTCTGTCTCTTTGGAAAACACTTCATTCCATGCAGCTCTCGCCTCGGCCGCTGTCATCCAGCGTAGACAGTCCGTCGTGGCTTCGAGTCCCCGGGGTAACCATGACAACCGAAAGAAACCCAAAGTGAATCCAAGGGAGCGGGGTGAGGCTGGAGAGAGCGTGAATAGAGTTTTCTCCATTTAGTTTTGTGCTTTTTTGTTTAGACTAAATACTTTTTCGCAAAGCAGAGGCACTGCAGGGTTGCAAAGTTGAAGGAGCCCTAAAAAGCAAAGCAGTGCGCTCCATGTCATTCACACCCGGCGCGGTCTATTAAAAGTATCGCCTTGCTGGTGACTGAACTTCTACTATTTATGAAGCCCCGGGCAAGTGATTGCAGAGAAAACAGAAACCGGGAAAAGAACTGAACTGTATTTACGCGAGAAGAGCCGGTGCGTAAAAACAGGAGGAATGATGGGCCTCTCACAAACACTTCTCTTCTACCTGCTGCTGTGCGTCCACCTTGGAGTTTCCCAGCACTACCTTCGCCTCCGTCCATCTCCCAGTGATCACCTCCCCGTGCCTGACCTCAAGGAGGACCCCGACCCGGAGTACGACCCCCGGGAACAGGACTTGTCCGAGAGGACTCTAAGGAAAAAACTCGGCAGCAACTTTGACCCAAACTTCATGTCCATCAGCTCACCTATGCTGGTGAACCTCTCTGCTCCGGACAACCAGGTGAAGCTGCAAGGGCCCATGCCCAACGAGATTAAAAAGCTGGACCTGACAGAGACCCCATATGGAAAGCGGGTCAAAGTGGGCAAGAAGGCCCGCAGGAAATTTTTGCAGTGGCTCTGGACCTACACGCACTGCCCCGTGGTGTACACCTGGAAGGATTTGGGCGTGAGGTTCTGGCCGCGTTACATCAAGGAGGGGAACTGTTTCTCTGAGCGCTCGTGCTCCTTCCCCGAGGGCATGTCTTGCAAACCCGCCAAGTCAATCAACAAGATTTTCCTGCGGTGGTATTGTCAAGGGTTTCTAAAACAGAAATTCTGTACGTGGATACAGGTGCAATACCCAATCATCTCAGAGTGCAAGTGCTCGTGCTGATTTTCTCTAAGGAAGGAGTGTTGGTGGTCGCGGGGGGAGTGGACTGGAAATACGGTTTCTATTGCACTGTTAACTCTCTACAGAGGTGGGCACCATAGCAAATCTATTTTTTTATATAGCATTTTAAGTGAAATACCAACATTGTACATATTTAAGAAAATGCAGCTATTTTTTTCTAATTGAACCAGGACCATATTTTATTCTCAACCCTGAAACGTGTTTTTGGGGAACACGAGCACTTCAGAAGGAAGAGCTTTTTTGATATTTTTATGAGACTTTGAAGATGGAATGCATATGCTACACTTCTCCAAGAGGTGACCTTTTTTTCAACTGAACATTGATGCTGACTGTTATTTCACTGCAATGCTGCCTAGAGTTTTTGTATAATATTAATATCAATAATAATTAAATTGTAAAAAAAAAAAGTTGAGGTTAAAGATATATATAAAGGCGTGAACTCAGCTTTTTGGAATACATAGTATTGTAGAAATAAACAAATCTGTACGTTTTATTTATTATTTTAACGATTGTGAGTATAGATCATAAGGACAGAGAATAGCAGAGTATACCAGAAAAAAATATGGGAGATGTCTACTTGAATATTTCTAAAAATAAAAAAAAAAATCAATAAAATAAATAAAAAAGTAAAACATATCAGTGTACATGTTATGTTTACACGTTTTAGCAATAAAGACTATGTTTTCAACGTGTTTTAGTGTCAAGCAATGTTGCTTACAACGAGGGTCTATATGCAGTGGGCGTGTACACTGTAAAAAATATCACATGGCCATGGTGTCTCATTCAGTCCTCAAATATTTCCAGACATGAAAAAGTCTCCGGATAGATGAAAATGTGTGAACTCAACTGCGAAAAGAAGGGTTGAATTTGAAGGATTTTATGTTTGCAGCTGTAGAGAAATGCTATCTTTTCCATGACAGTTTCCTTGAGAAGAAAATTCAGCTAAATTTGGTGAAAATGTTTCAGACTGACTGACATTTTTTACAGTGTGCTCAGCCGTGCTCCAGAGAGGAGTGGAGTCACAAACTGCACAGTAAGTCCAAGCTTCAGTGATTCTGTGTGGACTGCCTGACGCTCCACGCCGTCACAGTGATTTGAGAAAGGGCTGATTTACTACGCTGCGTAATCTACAACACATACCTCTAGCGCCTCCACAGAACTGGCATTCATTTGTCTCCTCCAGAGGGAGAGGGAGAGAGACGAGAGCACGCACATTCATCTGCCAGGTCTGCGCACAGGCTCGTCCCAGGGTCTCCGAGGTGTTAACACAATGCGTAAAATATGATTCAAACGTTTCAAACACTGTCACATGATGAAACGGCGAGCGTTTACGCGCGAGCCAGGGGCGTCTGGGGTCTGTGCTTTTTACTCTGGAAGCTCCACACAAGTTCCACTGAGGTATTTGTATAGAGGTAGACTGGAGCAGACCGGCGCCTATTCAAGTCTGACCGCCCTGAAGAGAGAGAGAGAGAGAGAGAGAGAGAGACGAGAGAGAGAGCGAGAGAGAGAGGAAGAGAGAGCACAAAGCCCATAAAACAATGGTCAACTGTTTTTCACGTTAGCAGACTATTAATTGGAGAGCTGCTGTCTGCGCGTTAAAGAGATATGGCCAATTAAAGGCGCAGGGAAATTAAGTTCAGGGAAATCAAAGCGTCATTTTCTGTGAGCAGGGCTTTTATAGTGTTTATATTATTCTTTAAACACAATCAACGACTTGAACAGAGCTATGACTGCATGTCTGAAAGCAGCTTGTGTAGTATTTCCACTGAGCGCATCTTGTGTGCGTTAAAGTGATTTGTGTTTCTGCGGGCAGAGTTGGATTTGACACTTGCCGCCCGGTTATTGTGACAGAACCACTGAGGGGATTTGGTAAGCAGAGAAGAACGGCAGCCTGCCAGCGGAGGAGGAGGAAGAGGAGGAGGAGGAGGAGAAGGAGGGAAGGGGGGCTGCTTTCCTTACTGTCAGCTTCTTTCTTGATGATGTCTCGGGGTTTTTAGAAACTGCGTCTCTGACTCGACGGCGCCACTCAGCCGCCCCCTCTCGACTGCGCAGAATGAGGCACTTTGGGAAACAGTAACCCTTTCAGGCTCTGCCCGGAGAGTATTTTAGAAGCGTGTGAAAGGCAATACGCCGCCCTGGCTCCAGCCAGTTAGGTGCGCACCTTTTAGAAACAGACCCTGCCAGCCAGTAAGATCAGGGGTGCTCAAAGTGGGGACCTGGGACCTCCAGGTGGTCCTTGAGGGGATTATTGGGGGTCACCAGCATTATGGTGAACAATTAGGTGTCAAAAGAGTGCTATAAATCCATTTTGTTCATGCATAATTACTTTATCAGTCCTCCTAATCTTCTCACCTACTGTTCCAGATATTGGAAAAAGAAACATCCAGAGAAACCACAGATGTGATCTTATAACTTTCACTTTCTTGAAAGTCTGATATAATAAACTCACCTTTCTTAAGCCCTGGTTTTTGCTCCAAATCCAGCCCCTGCAGTTCCAAATCCACTGCACATCCACTAAATTAACTCTGTCCTCGAAATAGAAACCTTTTACAGAGTTCATATAGAAGCATCTAACATGGCTGTGGGTTAAATATGGACTGCGCAGTGTATTTTTCTTCCAAATCTGTCAATCCTGCAATAAGTAACCACCATTAAATCCTCTCTTCACTCATATATGGACTACACACAGCCTCACACATTCATAAAATCCATCACCAGGTTTCAAGCAAAAAGTTGACTATAGTTTACAAACCTTATGGCTATAGCTGGAGTTTTGATTGACACATTAGGCAGAGAAAAGGAGAAAATGTCTCTCCATAAACACCATTTGAGTGCCACATGAGAAGGGTTGACACATCAGTGCAGCCTACGCTCACGTACCACCCATAAAAATGTCAAGACATGATGGCCTCTTGCCTGTCAAGTGCCCAACATTTATACAAATACTGTTAGCATATTTCTAATGCTTCACGTGTATTCAGATCCACCATGAAGCACATATTTGCTGCCTGTAAGACCACTCAAACAAAAGCCTGGAGACAATTATGATGGGGTATGATGTGGGGGGAGGGTTGGTAATTTTCTGTGGTGTGGATGATGAGGGTCTGTCTGCTGAGGAAAGTCAATTATTATGATAGATTGTGGTCCAATTGGGAATGATCAGGGCGGTAAAAGGGTCTGTAAACATGGGAAACACTCAATACCTGCAGAGACACATCTGTAGCAGAGAATAAGGGTGAAAAAGGCATGTATAATACACACACACACACATATTTGGGGTGTGTGTGTGTGTGTAGCAGGCTGACACACATATAGACAGAGACGGAGACAAGGGTCTGTGGCTGTAAGTAAGGCCCAAACCCCGTGGTTGTAAAAGCCAGTGAGTCAGCAGTGCTGAGGTTATTGATGATGACAGGGTATTAGATGGAGCACTGTGGGGAGGGAGGGCACACACACACACACTCACACACAAACACAAATGGAGTCACCGTAGATGATACCCGGCATTCCGTCAGACCACCAACCCCGGCCTGTGGTGTCTGGAGATGTGTGTGTAGGGGAAGCAGTAGATGTATAAGAGGCCATGGAAGTGTGTTTTAACAGATCTATTACATTCTTCCTGGTGGTCTTCAGATGATTGGTCACTTTCTGGCCTTGATTGGTTAATTCTTTCTCTCTCGTTGAGGTTACGCCTAAAATGGGCATGTGTGTCTTCCTTGAGGTTCCTCTTAAAATCTGTCCGACTGATCTCTGTCTGGCCATGAATCCTGATGTCATCCACACATCACTGCAAGAGCCCACAATCCTGACCTGGAGTCAGCAGCGGCGGGAACAGAATTCATAGCATGCCATTACATCAACACAGGCGGCCATCTTTGCCGACAAACAACAGGTGACTGTAGTCAAATAACAGGTGATTGTAATCAAACTCCAGCCATCACCAACATGTGGCGCTTATGACAATTAAGCAGACTGGTAATGCAGGGGGAGATGCATGCAATGCCACAAAGAGGCATGAGAGCACTCATCCATCACAGGGCCGTATATCGCTGCTCTCTTAGTTTCTCATCACTGGCTGCTGGATAGTTTGTTTTAGGGGTGATTTGTCTGGTCTGGAAAGTGATACTTAAAACCAAACTTCTGCAAAATTACAGAGCATGAAGAGCTACTGGGAATGCCAAGTGGCGCTTTGAAATAATGACACAACATTGATGCCTTTGCTTAGATCTCCTATCATAATCTCTACTTACATACTGTTTGAAAAATGTGGAGGCTGTTCACCAAGATCTGGATTTTCAGCATCCTATTTTCCATTCGTAGCAAGTTTGTGAGTAGAAATGACGAATCACTTATCAGAAGGCTTTAGAGTGTGCAAGAAAAGCAGCTAACTTCAAGCGCAAAAGCTGGCAGAACAATATCGGATGTTTGAAATCTCAAATCTCATTAGACGTATTTTGTTACTGATCCATCAATCTCTAAAAATCTGAGCAGCTAGCAATCTGTTCTGGATCAAGAATCTAGCTTGAAGTTTAAATCAGCTGAAATCTGTGTCATAAAAGCCAATCATATCTGCCATTTAGATTTCCCATCTCCATAGGAATGCATCAGAAATGAATGACCTGACCTCCACTTTACAAAAATCTGGGCAGATCTGACGAAGCTTCAGTTTTTAACATTTACAAATTTGCATCATGATATATATATATATATATATATATATATATATATATATATATTTTTTTTACAACAAACTTAATTTGAGTCAACTGCAAGTCAAACACAAGAAAATCAGAATCTTTTTCAGACCCACACCATTGAAGTCAACCAGAGTGGCGCCTGTGAGTGACTTAAAATTAAAGACTGCTTAATTAGTTAATCGATTAATCTGGCTAATCATTGGCTTTTTGACATAATCTGCATCACACTAGCATCACCATTGTCTTTTGAGATAACACATGGTTTCTGTCCTAAATTACTATATTTACTCGCTAGTGTTATGCTGTTATCTAGAATAATGCAGTTGTACATTACCTCTGACGTATCCATATATCAGTCAGTTAGGAATCTATCTAAAACATCTTACTTACTAAAGTATCCATGTATATTGACATATTGTGAACTAAATGATGGAATTCAAACACCTTTTTCAAAAGAACAAATTATTGATCACTTATCTTTTCTGTTTCAATCATTACAGATGTTTAGACAGAAAGTCCCATAGGCAATATTTTACTGGGCCAAATATTTTTATTTCTACATTCTTTTATGAACTTAAAAACCAATATATAAGTTTGATGATAACCACTTCATGCATGTTTCCTTGTATCTTCTGTTAAAAACACTCACTACTCTAAAGCCTTCAGCAAGCGCCTGGTTGGCCTATATGCTCGTGTGCTGCTTCCCTTTTAATCAGATGCATAGTGTCAGAGTCACATTTCTGTAGTCATGCTTGCTGATTACTCAGTTTAACTCTTGTTAGATGTAACAGATATTGTAAGCCCAAAGTAAGTCCTAAAAATAGAGCTGTGGGTGGTGTGGCGCTCACAGGGCTGGGGATAGTGCATATTCTGAGCTCTGTTTCCATGGTTACATGTGCTTTCTCCCATTGCCAGCATTAGTCTCAAATTCAGAATAAAATACTCCCTTTGCATCAATGGCTGCTGTTCTGTTTTTATCCCCTTCAGAAGGAGGATAATTTTACTTTTTATCATGTTTTTTTTTTTTTGCCTCAGGTGAGTTGAAGTCAGTGGACCGTGTTTGGTACATAACAGTGTCACAAACTAGGGATTGTGTAAGTTTTATGCTAAAAATGTATGGACACAAATATATATGCCGAGAACCACCAACTTTACCTTCTTTACCTCATCAAACTAAAATCAGAAATGCGGCTTGTCTGTCAAACTGGACACAGAATCAGGACTGTTTTGACCAACACCTCAGCAGAGTGAGCAGCACAAACTCGCAAACCCCTCCATCTCTGTATCACACAAACAGACACTCACACACACAAACACACACACACAGCCTCAGGATAGACGTTAAAGTGAGACAGCACTCATCAGCAGCCCACACAAACACTAGGTGTTCCCAGAGTGCTCCTGATACCTAATTGGCTCGACACACAAAGGTAAACTACCTTTAAGTTGTTTACTTCACTACTTGATCATGACTGTACACACACACACACACTTCAGTTCTCTCAAATGAAAATATATATTTTCCATATCCATCTCCTCTCAGCTCACTGATTGCTGCTGTACACACACACACACACACACACACACACACACACACCTCCCCCTCTTAGCCTGTCCGGCGGCTGTCTCCCAGTACCCCTCTGTGCGCCGAGATGGCATGCTGAGAATGTTTACTTTCGCCACAGTGTGTATTTACAGAGCCTAATAGTTTTTTAGGCCGCAATGGCGCCTCGCTCTGTAACATGTGTACAACCCACCTACTCCCTATTACTCCCACACACACACACACACTCAGAAAACATACGTCGCACCTACCAAACAACAAATCAAACCTCTGGTATTTGGAATTTGGCAGAAGTGCGAGGTGCTTGAACGCAGCCAGGTGACAACAACATCAGGATGTGATGTTCGCTCTCCTGTGATCAGAGTGAATGGATCAGACAAATCAGAAGAGGACAGAGAGTTTGAATGAACACGCGAAGCTCTGCCAATGAATGGACACATGATGTCTTGAATGGTTATACGTGACATGTGGCAACCGGAGAGATTTGTGAATGCGTGTACACAAACAGAATCTGTGAGCGAGTTAAAGAGAGAGAGACAGAAAGAGAGCTGTACAGAAGGATGGAGTGTGGTCGCATTTGATAGATAATGCAGATTATGCAGCTAAAGTGGGACCTTGGAGATCAATAGGAAACCTATTCAATCACCAAACCTATCATAGTTTAGAGAAAGCAAAACACAATGCAGTGAGAAACACCAAAGACTTAAAATAAGCTGGATAAAACATTGAGATTACAGTGCATTGTGGCGATGAACTGGGGTTAAAGGTCATGATTCCTTGTCAGTAGCTGAGTGTGAAGACCTCAACATAAGAAAA